AGTCCATCTTATTAACCTTAGTTCTGCTCTTCCCTTTGGTCAGAGTGGAAAGCCCATCGGTGAGGAGAGGGGTGGCTCACGTCAGGGCTGTGAAGTTTCCTCAGGCGGAGCCCAACATCTACATGTTCAACCTCTTCCTTGATAGTAAAACCCAGCTAGTGTCTCACCTGCTGAGATCAGGGGTTCTCCACTTTGGTGCTACTGACATTTAGGGTCACATCATTTTGTTGTTGTTGTTGTTGTGGGGGCTGCCTTGTGCCTTGCACAGCCCTTTTCACGCACGTTTAAGATAAATACATCTTTTCTAACATGCTCAGGAGACTTCACAGGGTTCTAGAATAAACGGGCCAGGGTCTCAGCAATGCGCAGGCTCAGCAATGTGCTCACCCATGGGGAGGCTGACGGGGGGCATTCGGCACCCACAAGCTGCCAGCTAGTTGGGCACCTATGAGGCTCTCAGCGACAAGCTCTGTCCATGAGAGTGGGGCTTTCCTCAATGCCAAGTTCCATCTGAGCCCCTCAGGGGAGGAGGCTGGCTGGCACAAGTGGTCACTTCGGGATGTTCAGGGAGGGCACCTGGATGGGCAGCTTGAAACTTTCACACTGAGCCCTCGTGCCCCAATCCACACCCTTCCTACAGTTTACAGTCCCGTGATAGACACAAATGGCCACTGGAGACCCCTGGCCCGTCCCAGGAAGACTAATAAAATGCCAAACAGAATTAGCCAGCTGGCCATTGTCACAAGTCACAGGGTCACAGGGTCACAGGGAGGGTCAGGGCCAAGGAAGCGTCAGACTGTTTCTTCATTATTTTGCTCACTGCCTGGTTCGTGTTCAGTGAATGACTAAATGAACAAAGGAGGGCAGGAATGGGTAGGGGAAATTATTCCGAGGCAGAGTCTCAGACCAGGACCCTCTGATCACGCAGGGGACCCCCAACACTTTCCACCACGCTGTGGGGCAATGTTCTCTTCACTCTGTTGAAGCCTCAGAGCCAGCCACGTGAGATCCATGTATAGTAACAGGCCCCCTCTTTGAACAGCGAAGTGCCTCTAGAAAAATGGCAGTCAACACCTGCTGGGACCAGGGGTTCTCCACTGTGGGACTACTGACATTTAGAGTCAGGTCGGTTTTATTTGTTTGTTTTGTGGCGGGAGCTGCCCTGTGCACTGAAGGATGTTTAGAACATCCTTGTAGCATCCCCAGGTTATGACAACAAAAATGTCTCCCGGGGCGCCTGGGTGGCTCAGTAGGTTAAAGCCTCTGCCTTTGACTCAGGTCATGATCCCAGGGTCCTGGGATAGAGCCCTGCATCGGGCTCTCTGCTCAGCGGGGAGCCTGCTTCCTCCTCTCTCTCTCTCTCTCTCTCTCTCTGCCTGCCTCTCTGCTTGCTTGTGATCTCTGTGAAATAAATAAATAAAATCTTAAAAAAAAAAAAAAGTGTCTCCCGACATTGTCAAATGTCCCCTAGGGAGCAAAATCACCCTAGCTGGGAACCATGCACGTAAATTAATCAATTGCTCTCCTAGTGCAGTACTAGGGGAAGCTGCATTTCTTTTTTTTTCATGTACATATTTAACTCATGTTTTATCTTTATTCATATGTAGTAAAAGTATAGATCACATTGTTACATGAATTCCCATCCAACCTCATAGATTAATTTTCCTCCTTTCTGTATTTATAACTCCCCCTACTGACAGTAAGACATCTGATGTCCACTATCCTTGATGTATTTATGTATTTAATCATCCCTCTTTTCATACTTTCTTGAGCCATTAGAATGAAATTTGATCATAATAAAAAAGCCATAATTTAAAAGGCTGCTGTTGTGAAAGCAGCCATTATAGGGTATGAATGAACTCACTTCTTAAATGTTATCTTGTAATATTATTTTTTTAAGATTTTATTCATTTATTTGACAGAGAGATAGAGATCATTTCTTGAAAAGGGTTAGGGAAGAGAGATAGACCAAAAGGAGGCAAGACGTCTGGTTGGGGCACATTCCTGGGCAGCCAGAAACATGGTAAGTGGCCCACAGTGCTGGCTGTACTCGTCTCGGTGTCTGGAAGACAAGTAAGGTTGCTGTCTCACCCTTTCTCTTCCCTCTCTGGACTATCCACAGGTCAGTAGTGCTAATCAGGAGCTGGAGCTACAGTATGAGCCTGAACGGTCTCTAGTCACTGCATAAAAATACACCATGAGTTTGTGAAACGCTGAACAGAGCCTATGGCTAAGCTGTGCAATATCCCCATTCCCATTTGATTGAGAAGGAAAATTCAAGCTTTGAGAAGCAACAGCACTCAGTACCTGGTCATGCAAAGAAATAAAAAAACAGTAAAGTAGCAGCAAAGGAATTAAACCCTAAGTTGAGTGCAGCCTATGTCTCGGAACCAGGGTCCAGCTCTCAGGGCTAAAACTTTCAGACATTTATTAACAAAATTAGGCATACAATGTGAGAGAGACATTTAGGGACACAATCACTAGATATTGATTATCTCTTCATTTGCTGTGCAGCCCTTAAGGGACATCCAAAAAATTACCAATTACCTTCTCAGTTTCAAGAAACAGAGGCTCTGCTGCCCAGCAAACCCCAGAGCAGGGTAGACAGGGGGAGCCCCTGGCCCCGGGAAGATGGCCCCACACAAACCCATTCCCAAATGAAACAGAAGATACATTCTAAGTAAGAACAAACTTAGGGGCTCCTGGGTGGCTCAGTCAGTTAAGCGGCTGCCTTTGGTTCTGGTCATGATCGCTGGGTCCTGGGGTTGAGCCCTGCATCAGGCTCCCTGCTCAGCAGGAAGCCTGCTTCTCCCTCTCTCCATCCTCACTGCTCATTCTCTCTTTCAAATAAATAAATAAAATCTTAAAAAAAAACCCCACCACCCTTAAATTTTCACTTTTCTGCCTTTGCAAAAGTGTTATTCTGCTGGTAAGAGTGTGACCGTGTGTGCGTACATGTCCCATCACCTGACTGGGTCATGGAACTCGCCATCTGGTGAGCAGAGCCATGGGCGGATGGAGGTGGGGACAGCAGATGCGGCCAGGTCTACGCTGAGGAGTGGAGGGAGGAGCCACCTCATCGATGCGAGGTGAGTCACGTAGAAGCAAGGTGATCCCCAAATTAAATCTGAGGGGAACACAGAGGTCAGTGGGGACCCAGGCCAAACACAAGAAGGCAGTCTGAGTCCCTGTGTTCAGTGACTCCAGATCCCCTGGGGAGTAGAGCCCAAAGCCTAAGGGAGGGAACGTGGGTAAATTCCTGGCAGGTACTTCATGGAAACTTGAGGGCTGCCTATTGATGGCAAGGAGTGAGGATGGTTTTGCCTCCTTCCCCCAAGGCTGGCGGTCAGCATTTCCCATCTTTGCATTAAGGCTGAGGCAAAGCAGTGATGGCTGATCCTTCTGCAGTTCTGAAACCGTTGCCAAGAGTACGATCTTCTCTCTGTCTTCTCTCTTTAAACTCTGGGGAATGATGTGTGTTCTGTGTTCAGAACTCTGGAAGAATTCATTCTCTCCTTTAGGGGACAGAACTGTCCCTATACCACAGTGGGAAATCTAGAGGCACCAGGACGCCAGTGTTGGGTGAATCTGGACCCCTTGGGTACCAGACTGCTGGGATGACAAGGGGCCCGGGGCCCACAGGGAAACTGTGGTGGTGTGATGAAAATCCTGTTAGTAGGACTGTTGGAAGCTCATGGGCCTAACCGGGGACCCAGAGAGATAAAGGCAGGGGACTGTAGCAGACAAGGGAAAGCAAGAGGGAGAAGGGGGTTCTTTCTCAGGACTGCTCCCAGCAGCCCCATCCCTACCCTCTCCCTGCCCCCGCCTGCCACAGACACAGAACACCCTGCAAACCTTAGTTCCACCCATGCAGACAGCAGAATTAATGGGTCACTGAGCAATTCTGCAGCCCTGATGAAGTGTGACCCAGCCCTCCCCTAAGGGTCCAAGGGCCCTGGGCCCAGCAGCCACTCCACCACACCTTCCAGGAAAGCTGCACCCCCACCCCTATGATGGTCAGTTATCAGACCCCCATGTCCCGACAAAGGGACTAAGTATCACGAGGGGCTGAGTATCATGAGGGGATCCTGCCTCTTGCCCACCACCACAACCAAGAGTTTGTAACTGCCTAAACTCGCATTCCCAAGCCTCCTACTGAAGGCTTCCAGAATCACGGATTGTCCTAGCAGCTTAGAACAGAAAGTGCCAGCGGCCTTCGGTCTCCTGGGTACAGATCATAGAGCAGTTCCACTGAAAACATGTTTTATTTTCCAGAGGAGGGTGATTAAGGGCAAGAAGTAGCTAGAAACCCTAAAAATGACAACCCAAGGAGCCTTACCGTGGGCTATTTTGGGAGTCCTCTGCACAACCTAACCCACCCTGATCTCCCTGAGGCGGCCCTGAGGTCCTGCTATCCCCCCACTGCCCTTTTAGCTCACCCAAACCTACGGCGCTGCCGAACCTTCGGGGCATCTTATGGACACAGTTGGTGCTGCACGGGCGCCCTCTGGTCCCTGGAACATCTCCAGGACCGCTTCTAAAAAATAATCTCCATTTAACAGCATGGGCGATTTAGTGAAAAAAGCCAGACACAAAGGAGCACCTCCTGTTGGATTCTTTGGTTAAAAATATTGTTCAAAAGCAAGTGAAAGTGATCTGTGCTGACAGCAGTCCAGGCTGCAGTGACCTTGTAGGGGGCATGCCTAGAAGCGGGACCCGAGGGGGCTTCTGGGGGCTGTCATGTCACTCTTCTGATTGGGGAGTGGTTACATTCGGGGTCTTCGGGTGGTGAGAACTCACGGACCTGCAACACTCAGAACGCCCGTGCTTTTCTTGAGTACAGGAAACTTCCATAGGGTGTTTGATACCTGTGGACCACCGTGGGCTGACTCAAGAGGCTAGCCTGCTTTGTGGCCCTTGCTGGTACCCAGCCTCATGTCTGGAGTCTGGGACAGAGGCCTGGGCAGCGCCGAGAGGGAGAGGCTCAGGCCCACACTTACCGGCTGCAGCCCGTCCTCCTGCCTTCTGCTCTGATTCGGGCGGTTGATGAAGGACCGGGTGGAGACTTTGTAGTGATTCAGCAGGCAGACGATGACCACGACCATCACCGTGACCACCACGACAATGATGATGATCTGGGCAAACTCCAGCTCCGCTGTGAGGGAAGGGGAAAAAGCCTGTTAGCCACATGCCCCTTTGTGCCATCACCCAGTTCTCTGAGCAACGCGACCACCAGGCCCCGGTCCTCTGGGGGACCTCAAGAAAGAACTCTTTTTCCCCAGGCCTGCTGCTGCCCGAAGCCATCAGCAGACTTTGACAGCAGAATAACATCTGAAGAAAAAGACACCTGGGCATGGGGCTCTTGCAATGGACCTCTGGTGGTCAGGCAAATGTGGTGCTCAAACCTTGTCTTTGCAAATCGTGTCATTAAGTAGGGCCTTAGGAAAACGTATTCTTGACTCTACAAGACTTCTAGAGGTGCTTGACCCCATCCACACATGGATCTCGAAGTTCTAGCCCAGTGTGCATGCCATAGGCTAGCAGCTGCCCAGGCTGCCCCTTCCCGTGGGCGGGCAGGCCCTGGAGGGCTGTTGCGTCTTGGGGTATGAAAAGCTCCAATAACTGAACTCTGTTCCTGCTGGATGGCCCTGCCCCCAGGAGAGGTAAGAAAGTCTGCCAAAACTGAAGCTGCTACTTCCAGGGTAATCTCTCCCGGAATGTTAAACCCATCTTTATGGTTGAGTCACGTTTTCCAAAGCACGCCCACGCAGGACCCCCACAATACACCAAAGGGAGAATATGTTGATAAAAAGCTCCAATTTCCTCTGCTCAGGGCCTTGCCTTTGGAAGTGATTTAGAAAACACATCGCCCCTGTCTCCAACCCTGCAGGCACCATATTTTATGAGCGGTCAGAAGCTGCATTCCTGAGACGGCCGTTACAGAGGATTTCCTGGCTGCCACCGACACACGCGTCAAACTCTAGGACAGGGCCGGGGAGCGACCTCTAGGACCACGGCACCCTGAGTCGGCAGTTAGAGCTGGGTGATTCAAGCCCTCCGGTTTTGCAGGGAGGAAGCAGAGGCTCATTGCTCAAGGTCAAGCCTAGAACCCACCTTTCCTGCTTTCTGACTTACAGCTCATGGCTCTGCGGAATGTGGCCCACTGGTTCCTGGGAGCATCCCCGCATGGTGAAAGGAAGTGATTGTGCGGGGGGGGGGGGTCAACTTAAATGGGGAGACTCTCTGAGAGACAGTGGAAGAGCGCACACAACTTTGTTGTGAGGTAGGGAGGTATGGGGTTTAATGAAGGGGAAGAGGGGAGAGCTCTGTCAATTGTGTCCCTGCCTGGAGCCTGCAACACACACCCACGCATACACCCACACATACACACATGCACCCCCACATGGGCTTACAGCAACACACATGTACATGCACGGGCATACTGCATTCGTGCACATCACACATGTATGTGGATATACATACGCACAAGGCCTGCACACACACACACACACACACACACCCTCTTGCTGTAGATCCCAGGCCAGTGGAGAGGTGTTCTCTCTCTGTGTACGGGCTCACACCCAGGATAATGCAGGAAGGCTCTCAGTAGCACCCTCCCCCCAGGGTCTGCACCTGTGAGCCCCCACCGTTCACACGCTGGAAACAGAGGGGCTAGAGTCGGCATGGAGGTAAACCAGAGGGTGTTCCTGGACCTCCGCGTGTCCAGTCCTGGGACACTGCCCTCCACGCTTGCCCATACATACCCAAGGGACAAAGATGTACAAATGTGCTTGCTGGAGTGGGCTGGACGGTACTTGGCGTGGGGCCTATAGTGGGAGTGGCCTGGATGTGCACCCTGGAGCACGGAGAGCTGAGTGTGAGGGAGCTGAGCTGCTGGGCCGATGTGGTGAGTGGTTGAGGCCTGGCAGGTTTGCCGGGCACAGTCCTAGTGGGCAGTAAAAGGGTAGATCCCATGGGCACGGCTGACTCGAAGGCTCAGGAGGCAAAGCCCTGAGCAGCTCTAGAAGCCGGCGGTCAGCAAGGCCCTGGTGCTGTGCTTCTCACCTCACCCCCTCCACTGGCATGGCTGTCATTGTTCTGGACACCCTCTGAAGCCGTGTGGCTCATCATCAGGTTAAATCATGCCCTGGACTTGACAAATGTTTTCTTTTCTCAAAAAGGCTTCATTGAAGGGCGCCTGGTTGGCTCAGTTGGTTAAGCGTCTGCCTTCAGCTCAGGTCATGATCCCAGCGTCCTAGGATCCAGCCCCATTATCAGGTTCCTTGCTCAGCAAGGAGCCTGCTTCTCCCTCTGCCTCTGCCTGCCACCTGCCCTGCTTGTGCTCTGTCTCTCTCTCTCAAATAAATAAATAAATAAATAAATAAAATCTTTTAAAAAACACTTAACTGCTCTATAAACATGGAAAGAGAGGAAAATGATGATTACAGTGGGGGTACTGCACAAAGTCTTCATGGGTTAATTCTTCACTGAGAGGATGTCTTTCTAGGTTATGTTTTCCTGTATACAGAAAGCTATGCAGATAACCATTTGTGGCAACACAGTCAAATTGTATTTTCCATGATTCTATGGGCATTTGGGGTATATTTGTGTTTCGTTTGAAAAGGATTTTATTATAAAAATAATGAAGACTTCCTTAAAATGTAAACAATACAGAAGGAAATAGTGTACGATGTAAAAGTCTCCTTTGTAGGCCTGCAGCCCTCCCTGACCCCACCCAGCCCCACAGCGTCCTAGGGGACAGCACAGTTCACCTGTTGTGTATATCTGTGCATTTGCCTATTGAATAAAGGTTTTCTTCTTTTAATGAGTGGAATCATTGTACAAATACATTGCTTTTTTTTTTTTCACTTAACATATCACAGACATTTTCAAACAAGAATATATAAAAACCAACCTCATTCTTTATGGTGGCTGTCTAGTCCAGAATACTGATGTACTGGAATTTATACTCTCCAAGTGATAGACGTTTAGGTATCTTTTTCCCCCTTTTTTTCTATTAAGATCAAAAGATTGTGTGTCCATGTGTACGTATGTGTAAATTTGAGTGTTGACCCACATTTTGAGTATCCCTACAGGAAAGATTCCTAAAATTGAAATTTCTGGGTCAAGGACATATTCTTTTAAATGCTGATGGCTACCGAGACTCGGCCTTCGGAAAGGTCTCTTGCCCTACACACTACTCAAACACTGAATACTCACCCTTTTCATTTGCACTAATCTGATGGGCAAAATATGTATATTGTATTTCACCAATTACTAGTAATTTTAGATCTTCCTTTGTGGTTATTGGCAATCTGTATTTTTCTTCTTCATAATCACAGTCGTTCATACTAGCTTATTTGTCGTTTTCTCATTTATTGGTAAGCAGCCTTGATGCATCATGACCACAAAGCTTTGTCTGTTACATATGTTACAACTATTTTCTCCTCATCTGTCACTCACTAACTTTGCTGTGTGTTTATGGAAGATATAAATAATTTTTATGTCATAGAAATACTATTTTTTTTCTTTTATGGCTTCTAAGCTTCCTGTTTGATTAGGAAGGTCTTCTCCAATAGTCTAAAAATATTTTCCCTAAGATTTTTACACATTGCATTTTTGCGTTTAGATCTTCGTTCACTCTGGATTTGATTTCTTTTGGTCTGAGACAGCACAAAGAACATTTTACATCATCTGAAAGGCATGAATCTTCTGATCTAACATAACAGTAGAAAGTTCATCACAAGCAAGAGTACGAAAGATCTCGGTTGTGGGAAACAGTGTATGGAATCTTTCTTTTAAAGGGGACTAGCAGCTCTGAGGTTGCATTTCATCAGATTTCATATCAACATGCTATGTGCCGTGGGCCCCATGCTGGCCCTGCTGAGGAACCAAGGCCAGGCAAGCCCACCCCACCCCCACTACACATCCAAACTTGCCGCACTTCCTCCCGGGGCTCTGCGCTCCTGCTCCGCTTACACTCACAGCTCTCCAGTGCTTTGCTCTCAGGACCCCCTATCCTCTTAAAAGCTACTGGTAACCCCCAAAGAGCTTAATTTGTATGGGTGATATCTACTGATATTTGCCATATTTGCAATTAACACTGACAAGTTTAATAATTTATTCATTAAAAAAATAAACTCATGTTAACGTATATAACAATTATATACACTATTTCTCAAAACAAAAACTTAGTGATAGGAGAGGCACGGCTTTACCCCTCTGCGCACGTCTTCACGATATATGCCTTAATAAGAGACAGCTGGATTCTCCCCTCTGCTTCACCTTCAATCTGCTGTGACATGTTTGTTCGGTTAAGATATATGAAGGAGATCTGGTCTTACCAATCACTGGAGACTGGGGTCTTAGAGACACCCCAGAGATCCCTGAGCCCCAGCTGGAGAAACGATGGTTTAGACTGATGGACAGCAGGCACTCTAGTACAAACACTAATGGCCTGGACTTCTTGGGGATACTCCAGACTCCAGGATTTGAGATGTGGTCAGAACAGCTGTTGGGCCACTGTCCTGAGCTTTCATGCCCAAGGACAGCCACAACAGGTGCACCTACGCAACACAGGACACACAGAGACCGCAGCGGGGTTCATAGGCATCGCAAGCAACAGTGTGGAATTCGCCTGGGGCAGGGCAAGGGCACAGGCTGGCAGGAGCTAGGTTCCCAGGGTGCCACTCACTAAGGCAAAAAGCCTGGTGGTATAGCCCAGCTGGCCAATCTGGGTGACAGAAGTCCAATCAGAGCCTCGGCTACTACATCCCATGGGCCAGCGTGAGAGGCAGCCCTTCCTGCAGGGACTGGCCTGGGTCCCAAAGGCCACTGTCCTAACAACCAAGTCCTAATCAGACACAGGAACAACGAAAAGCACGGCAGCAGCCAGGCAGCCCCTGCTGCAGTCTGGAGTCACCTGCGGTGCTCCTTGGAGCCCAAAGCAGAGGCCCTGGGGACGGAGCCTCAGCAGAGCGGCACAGCCCCAGTCAAATGAGCAGCTGACCTTCACTTTGACTCTGGGCAAATACATAGCCAATAAAAACAGACTGCTTTTTCAAACGTCAGCAACGGGGAAGTAGGAAGGTTCTACTCTCTTGGGGGCTATAAGTACTCCTCCAAGAGGGGTTCAGAGAATTTTCAGAGTCAAAA